ATACATACAATTTTTACATTCAATATTTAATTGTGCACGCTCATTTCTCAATTTTTTACATTTCAATTGCCTTCTAAAGCTCACAAGTTAATCATTAAACACTAATAATTTAATAACACTGTTAAATGTAATCAAAATGAATATAAATATGTGGTGATTCCTAAATGAACTTGCATTTAAATAAATAATTTTTAGTGTTTAGAGTTGTGTTTTTTTGTTTTTTTTTAGACAAAATAGTATTGAAATTTAATATCACTTGTCGGCTATAACCTGAAAATAATTATCAATGTATTGGTATGGGACAGAATTTTAGAATTGGTGCATCCATAATAAATATGTTGCATTTTAGATCGTTTCTGTTGGCTGATGAGGCAAGAAAATTCTTACAATTAATTTACCTAAAAGTGTCTACGATGTATCTTTATGATTATTAGAGCATTACATCATTATCTTAGCAACATGCTAATGTCAAACTCTATCGGAATCAATTGTGGCAATGTAGTGGTCAAGTCAGAAACTTATGAGGTTCCTTCCAGTTAGGATGCTACCTTAGACGGTCTCTTGTATAGTAGACAGAATGGTAACCCACTAGATTTTCATACAGAGGCATACATGTTAATAATATTTAAATCAGTTAGTCCTTGGTAAAGATAAATAGTAGCTATACAACTAAACTAATTTCCTCTTCATGCATCAAGATTTTTTAAGCTGATTCTTGTAACATATCCTGCTTTATTTGCTCTGAGACCAAATGGCAAAGACTCATGGAAACAAGCGAGATGGATTCAGAGTTGGAGCAGTCAACCCAATTGCTCAAGCTGTACTGTAGGAATGCAGTGGTGTCTAGCAGTCACTGACTCCGTATTTTGGAGATGATTGTTTATTACAATTTCTTGACTTTCTAGATAGTGTTTGCACAATTAAGTAGTTCTCTGTGTCCAGTCTACATCAAGGGCTTTGGGTTTTTCCAAATTTCCAAAGCCCAGATTGTTTTGCATTACGTCTTAGATAAGACGGAAACGGTTTCTCTTCCCACATCTTGGCTAGAGATTTGCAAAAGAAATTCCCGTACAAGTTTACACGACAGCTCATAGAGTCAACATTTTTGATCCGCTAAGTCAGAGTCGGGCACCGAAGTGAACTAGCAGTCTGTTAGAGAGTCCAAACAGGAAGGGATCAAATGCCTTGTTTAACAAGCATAACTCTTATCACAGATGGGATTGATCCATTCTGGGGAGTCCAAATAAAACAGTGTTGCTGCCTGGTGATTTTGTAAAACGCTTCAGTTTTTATAGCGTGTTTATAATGTGGAAATTTTAGGTGAAAGTTTGTTTCACCAACACATTAGCTTTTTGGTTTGGCTTCGTTTTTTTTTCATTTTAAAGACTTTGACGATCATTTATTTACTATGTATCCTTTCTTACTAAATTCCTAGTAAACTGAGACACAAAAATAGCCTTCTATTTATGGAAATACAAAGAGTACATTCTGAAACTGCTTGTGTGTTAAGTGTACTTTGGCTGACTGTGTTCTGGGTATGCTTGGCCAAAGCCTGGTTTAAAAGTTTATCTTTTTGTTGTCTGTTGGATGAAAGTATAGAGACAGGAAGTGAGTCCGCTGAGGAATGTGCTTGGGGCTAACTGTCCTCTGGATGAAGGCCTAGGGAAACTTTTCTTTGTAGCTTTTAGAGGGTAAACGTGGCATTTTCCTCAAGAACTACTGCTGAGGTGAATCGCTTGTGGCCTCAATCTTGAGTTCATAGCGATATGGCATTTTAAGCACATTTAACAGACAAAGCAACTCAGTTGGCACGTAGTAAGCCTAATACAATGCAAAAGGCCAATAAATGTTGGAAAGAATGGAAATCAGTCTGTAAAAGGTGGTTGAATCAAGTATATTGGGACCATTCAGGAAACCCTGGCTTGTGTTGTTCAGGTCTGAGAGACCCTTGAGAGGTGGTGGGCCGAAGAGTCCCAGTGCTCACAGCGTATAATTCACTGCAGCTGTTGGAGAGTCTCTGTTTTAAAAAAATGCTGGCGTGGACCAGAGACTTTGTTATGACAAGGAAAAGAACGAGCCATTACACTACAGCTACTAACTCAACTCATCTGAGTTGAAAACCAAATGGTTGTTTTTCAAAGCAGTCAAACCTGTAAATGTGATACATCTTGGATTGTCACATTTTGTTTATTGGCAATCCTGTTATGTTGAAGAGACAAAAAAAAGTTATTTTATGCACTGGCATTGATTGACATTATATACAAAAATAATCAGTAATTACATTTCATAGTTTGTGTTTAGGTGATCCTCTCCGTTCATTTAAAACAATTTTGTAGAATCCACCCAAGTGTTTCCCAGCAGAATGTGTAATGTCATTGGCATTATTGCGCTTAAAAATCCGTTTAAGGCATAAGTTATAGGATGGATTATTTCCCAGGATTCCAGGATTTCTGCATGCCTACTGGCTGTGGCTTCCCAGATATTGGCTTAAGCTGCCTGCGGAGTCAATGACATGGCACTTTTTTTTGGTCCAGAAGTTGTTCAGAAATACATTACACATGCAGTATGTTTATGTGTCTATGCAGTGAGAGATATTTTTAGTTTCTATATTAAAACTCATATAGTTTTTATTATTTGTTTTGTCATATTTAAATTCAGTTTATTTTGCATCACAGTAATGTGTAGGTCATTGTGTAATCAAAATGTAGAAAAAAAAATTCAGAAATTCTTTAAAACTGTAGTACTGTCCTTTATGGAACCCCGTTTCCGCAACTGAATAAAAAAATAAAAAAGGTAATTGTGACTTTTTATCTCACAATTCTGACTTATTTTCTCATAATTGCGTGATACAAACACGCAA